GAGTACAAATGCTCGCCGCTGCCGCCGCCACCGCGCAGCGCCCAGCCGGTCGCCCCCGGGCAATTGCTTCGATTTTGAAGGCGAGGCGGTGCAGCGCGCCACTCGTCCAGCCGCTAGCGCGGCCGAGGGGCAAAGATTAGTTCACTTTTTCATTCGGGCGTCTTAATGAAGCAGAAATAGATTTTCGTTTAGCTTTACGCCCAAGCGCTAGAAGGCAGGGAAAAAGGGAATCAAAGGGCAGCTAACGGAGCGAAGAAAGTTTGGGTTCATTCGGGAAAGCCAGGAAATACTAACGATATGTAATATTTATGCTCTGTTCATCCACTTGCTTGGTTTGTAACTTTGATCGTAGCATTCATTTTCCTGGAGTTAGATTTTCAAGGCAAATGTTATAGAGAAATATTATTTTAATGGATTATTATTATTATTATTATTATTATCATTATTATTATTATTATTATTATTATTATTATTATTATAGCCCGTTACAACCCCGTAGAGGGTAAGGACCTCCGTTTGCAGGTTACACAATGGTAGAATTCCCGAGCACCCAATTCGGAAACTTCCTTTTACATACGCTCTTTATACACACAAAAAAAGATATTTTACTGGATTAAGGTTAAATTCTATTGCACAAATACCTGCAAGCATTTTATTAACACTATTCTCGAATGATATTTATTATTGCAACAATATATTGTAATTTTATTGCATATTTGTACACATCACACATTCTTTTCGGAAATTATCTTGGTGACCTATCTTCATTGAATGATATTTGTCAGAAAGTTCTGCATCGAAGTATCGAGAAACATGAACAGTATTCACAGTTTATGAAACAGGGCTTGAAATGCATTCAAAATACGAAGAAAAATGATAGATTTTATACTGTGGCAGATCGCAATGTGAGATAGTGAAAAGAGGAAATCGATTTAATAAAGAGGGGAGGACTCATAATGACTGCGCATGGACATAATGATAGCATTGGTTGCGGCGTGACAAATGAACATTTGCCTGGGAATGTATGGAAGCATGCAAATGCATGCTCTGGCATTAAATATACTGCTCTAGAGGGAAAATAAGCATTCATAAAGGTACTCTTTCTATAGGTGGAGAATCAAAACCGTGAGCTCCGATCATAGTAGAGACGAGCATGAATGCGTATCGCGTTGAAAATGAATAATTTAGTAACGTTCAGAAGGAGAATGTTTATAGACAAATGATGAAGAACTGGAGTGTAACTAATGTGAAAAATACTAGGAACAATATTACGGCGACAATATTAAGACAACACCTGTAATATGGTGATATCAAGTTGTTTTTTTAAAAGTCGTTTAAAAATGTGAACAGACATTAATGGACAGTAAATATTTATTTTCGGAATAAGGAATTTAAATTCTTATTTTCGTAATTTCTTTAATTTCATTTCTCTCTTGCATTCATATTGTCATAATATACATTTTTTAAGTTCCTTGCGAGGTGTTTTTTGAAGACAATTACTATTAGAGATTTACTGGAGTACGCCATTAGCGAATGCTGTGGTAGAGAACGGCCCTTATATTTTTATGTAACTGGCAAATAATATAAGTAAGTTATAAGCTTGGTAGAATACAGAGAAGTACAACTTTCTGAAAATATGTATAGAAGGTAACGACATAATGAATCGTGTCCACTCAACATTCTGTATTTCTTGTATTAGCGTCAAGCGCGATTTGATTAGAGATTTAGTGGTCTTCGTCGTATCAAGCTCTAATCCACGACTGTTGCAGTTTCTGCTAAGGCAACCAAACACTCCAATTAGCAACTCCACGAGGATTCAGCATTAAGTGGATTCGGACGTCTTGACGAGGTTCAAGCACAAATTAGCGCCAGATCGAGGAAGACCGATCGACCACACCGATCCAGCACAGATAATCGGCGCTTACGCTTTGTTTCTCGTCGCTTTGATGAATCCGCGCATTCTCGAAAAACCCTCCTCCGGCGCGCACACACCAGCCATACCGCCTATTCTGCGTAGCCCTCTCCATCGCTATGTCCTGCCTCTCGCCTCGGGGCAGTCCACATAAAAAGCAGCATTCGAGAGGCGACGCTGGCAACGACGCGATCTCCGGCCTCTTTTGCCAGTTCGGGCTCCGGTCCACCTGCGCTTACGGGCTCACACGCCTGCGGCCCGTCGTTAAGGCCACGACCGCTGCGGCGGCTCCAGCCCGCGCCGCCAACCCGGCGCGCGCTTTGCCAAACCCCCCGCAGCCAAACCCCCGCGCCAAGCCCCCCGCTCCCATCCCCGCGCGCACGCCCCCGCCAGGCCCCCCTCAACCCCCCGCTCAAACCCCCGCTCCAACCCCCCTCCAACCCCCTTCCCAACCCCGCCTCCACCCCGCGTCCAAACCACCCGCCACACCGGCGTTCCAACCCCCGCTCCAACCCCCGCTCCAACCCCGCGCTGCCGAACCCCCCGCAGACCCCCGCGTCGCCGAACCCCGCCCCCAGACGCCCCGGGGGCGGGGGGGGTGGGAGAAGGGTTTGGCGGAGGTCTGGCAGGGGCGCCGGCGAACGGCGGCCGCGGCGGGCGGGAGGGGCGGGGCGCCACGGGGACCGCGGGTCGGCGGGCCGGCGGGGCAACGGAGGGCGGGGGCCGTGTGGCGTACAGGAGCGAGGCGGTTAGGGCGGTGGTGGAGGGCGGGTCGGCGGGGCGGGGCGGGCGTCGGAAGGTGGCGGGGCGGCGGGGCAGGGTGAGGAGAGTGGCATTAAGTTGGCGCCGCGACGCTGACGGAGGAGATGCGGTTATCCTGGAGGGCGTCCGCGGCGGTGCAACGAAATGGTCGTCGCGACGCCGGAGACGCGCAACGCCGTGCCAGCGAGGAAGGCATGCAGCGCCGCTGGCGCAAGTGGCGGCGGGCGCGGGAGGAGGGAAAGCAACGATAATGGTGACTGCGGAGGTGAGTGGGTGTGTTGTGGTTTCTAGCCCTCAAACCGACAGAGGTGACTCAGGGCATCCAACTGAATGTCATTTCGGTGCCTATGACCGGGAGGTCCTCGTGGTTTGCCCTGCAGGATTTTCCACACTTGCTGGAGGGTGAGTTTCGTTAGTGTAGTGCTTTAGCCCGAGAATTGGTAATGTCCATCCCTCGCGATAAGGAGGAGGTTACAGGTTTACCTTTTAAACGGCAAAACAACTCTTTCGAGCCCCTGCCCCCCCAAAAATGAAATAGATTGACTCATATTGTTTATGTCATTGTCATATTTGTATTAGGAAACAAAGAAAATGCGAACCCTGTCTCCAAACTCTCATTTAAGTGTTATGATGTTTGACGTTGCATAAATTGCTTTGAGATGTACTACCTTCGGCATTATACATGAAAAGGAAAGTTCAAGCTCCAGAAACTTCTGCACATACTCGTCTCTTCTGTAAGAATATGTTATAGTTTTTCAAGGATGTAGAAAATATTTAATTAGTTTTCGTTTAAATAAAAACAGATTAAAAGTATTCTCGCAGCCTTTATTTTAGCTTTATCAACTCTACGTAATATTTAGTTTCTTGGAATAAATGTTAATATTAGAAACATGAAATACAAAAATAAATTTTATTTGTTTGGAATGCAATATAATCGAAGTGATCATATATTACCTTACTTGCGGTAACTACTACAATGTACATTATTTTTATTTATGTATAAAAACCAAAAACAGTAACACTAAAATTAGTTTTCCTAAATATTGTTGTCACTGACTTCATACTGTTCACAAACGTCACAAATAATTCAATGTTATGTAATATCACAGACGAACCTCTACGCGGCTGTGGATTGCAGACTTTTCCCATAATACACAAAGCATCCAGTTTAAGCACACTAACGCGTGCAACTATTATTCTCGTCTTAGTTGAAAGGTAAACAAGCGTTTAAAAGGTAAAATTCCCAGAAGAGTAAGAAAAAAACTACTTTATTTGGCAGATATCACAAATGGTCTGGAAACGCTTGCAGTCGCCCCGCGACTACATATGGGTTAAGAGTAGGAACGAAGGTAATGGACTTATTTACTAGGCTGTCCGTGTGACGCCGCGTCCATGGCGAAGGTGCCGACGTTTCGGTCGCCATTCTGCGACCTTTCTCAGGGCGTAATGCCATTACACCATTCTGCAACCTCCCTCATGGCAAAATGCCATTACGCCCTGAAGAAGGTCGCAGAATGGCGACCGAAACGTCGGCACCTTCGCCACGGACGCGGCGTCACCCGGACAACCAAGTAAATACTGACTCCGGCCGCGGAAGCCTACGCACTCAAAGGTAATGGACTTATTCTCCCGTCCGAAAACAAAGAGCTCCAAGACGTGCAAGTGGAGTGTGGGAGGGTGTGGGGGTGAGTCACGCACCACACACCACAGCCTCTTCCGCAGCCGCGGATCGGCGCTAATGGCGCGTGGGCCGTTGCCGCTAATCTACCTGGCTCGTTGGAGAACATCTCGACCGCGCCACGCCACGCCACGCACCGTGCAGGCAGCAGACGCAGGGGCGAACGCAGGAGGAGCAACAATGCGGGAGAGGAACAGAGGGAAGCGACGCTTGGTTCGGATATGCAATGATGGACCAGGGAGCGGAGGTGGAGACGGTGGGATGAGAAAGTTCGTGTGTGTGTAAATAGAGTGTGTAAAATCAATTGAGAATAAGAGACCGCACAGGAAGTCGCAATGAAGGAAAAATATGGCTGAGTTAAACTTAAAAAAGAATAAGACTTGAACTGGGAAATACGATATAAGAGGGTGATGAAACAAATGCTAGTGTCTGGAGGAGAATTTTTTCGGCCGGCTACTCTGATCGGTGCGGTTTTGCGTGATTTCTCCAATAAACACCAGACAAAGGCTGCGGCAGTAGCTTAACAAAAGGGACTGCACGCGATATTTCCGTTCTCTTCATTTTCCCATCCTGACTCCATACTTACCCCCACATGCACTACACTATCGGGACATGCACTACTTATCGGGAGAACGGTCGGGAGCTCAGATCTGATCCCGGCTGGGGTGGGGTATCGCTGGTGGGAAATAACTGGTTGGGAAAACCCCAAAAGCAGACGTGAAGGTCGGCGTAGAATCTATTCACCCAGCCGGGGACCCGCGATAAAAGCACGCACCACATTTGCGGAACTAATGACCTCAAAAGTAGTTGCGCCCGGAACCAGTAATCAATCAATTGAGAATAAGAGATCGCACATGAAGTCGCAAAGATGGAAAATATGGCTGAGAGAAATTTGAAAAGAAATAAAACCTGAACTGGGAAATACGATATAAGAGGGGACGAAACAAATGTTAGTTGTAGGATTTACTGAGTAGGATACCGATGGTTTTAATGTTTATGAAATAGTACAAATAATGCTAGAGCGTTGTTTGTTTAGCCCAAGGATACGCCTACATAGCGATGAAAACTATTTTACCATCCTCTACCTTCCACACACACAAAACATAGCAAAAGAAATAAAGTGCCCAAATATAAAAGAGGTTTTTTATAAACATTCGCTTAAAACGATTAGTGCCTTTGTGTCGAGATCAGATCCAAAATAGTCAGTCTCAGACAGCCACTCCACCCTTCCAGTCACTTTGTTTCGCACACTATTCGACAAGATACCTGGGGGGCAATCTTTGCGGAATGATATCTTGAGAGACGTCAGGCGTCGGAATATTGTTATAAATAGGTGTATAAAGCGATTAGTATATTTTTTCCTCGATCGAGGTATTTTCAATCTCAAACAGCCACTCCACCCTTCCAGTCACTTCGTCTGTTTGGCACACCATTCGGCATCATCCCTGAAGGGCGATCTTCGCCGAATGAGATCTTGAGAGAGGTTAGGCGTTGCGCCTCGACATGCCAGCGCAGCCCGATACCGGGAAGTGGAAGGCGGATGAGAATCGGAGGAAGACACGGGATGCCAGGCCGGGCGAACGGAGAGGAGAGGCGAAGACAAGTGCAGCGCGAGGAGGCGTGTCGGGCGCCGACTTCCCCCCCTCCCGCCACCACCCCT